GTCTGAAAAAGAATTTCCTACTTATAGAAAAGTAAAAGAGATCGAATGTTTGATGCTAGGTAAATCAGTTAAAATGATATTTTGAAGTGTCTACGAAATATCGATTACACAGAAAGCTTCAATATTGAAACAGTTTTCAAGAGACAAAACACTACACTTCTTGGAATCAGACGTAGGTCGTATATGAGAATTCGATAAAAACTGATTCTGCCCGGTTTAATCTGTTTGGTAGAAGCAGGAAAAATATAGCACTAAAACCAAAGCACAATCGAAAATAAAAACAAAAATAAAATAATTTGCACAGTATCAATCGTCATAGACAGTGTTGCTTGTCGTCTAGATTTTGAAATCATTTGTCTTATGTTATGCATTTCAATCAAATGAGGATGATCTTCGGTTAATGCTTGCTTGTACATATGATAGGATATTGAAAAATATTTCTCTGCTTCAATATAATCTGATTTTCTGTGTAAATAAAATAGAGTCATACTTTTATAACACAATGCCAAATCTGGATGATCCCCGGGTAAAACATTTTTCCATATATTTAATGCTTTATCATAACAATCTTGACACATAGCATTATCATCATCATTGTTTTTACAATAGTAAACTTGACCAATTAGATGTAAACACTTCGCCACATCACGATGTTCTAAATCATTAAACGTCTTCTTATACATATCAAGTGCTTCCGTGAAATAGTTTAATGCAAAATCAAAATTAAATAAATCCAAATAAACTTCACCCATATTTTTTAGTGTATATGCCTTGTCAACATGATCGTTTAAATTAGCCTTTTGTATCAGTTTTAATACTATTTCATAGTGTTTCAAGGCTTCAGAATAATTTTTTTCTCGATAAAAACATTTTCCAATATTATTTATTCTCATACCCATGTCTCGATAATTATCATCACCCTTCAACACTCTTCTGGCTATGTCTAAACTTTGTTCAAAATATTCCATAGCTTGTGTGTATTGACATTTTTTATAATAACATTTACCGATATTATTCGTGCTCACGCTAAGACGCATATGGTTATCAACAGGGCAAATTCTTTTGTGAATTTCATACGACTTTATTTGGTAGTATAAGGCTTGATCATAACATCCTTTATGATATTGAACCATGCACATATTATTATAATATTCAGCCATATCAAGATGATCTTCAGGTACCGAGCTTTCAAGATATTTGTATGATTTTTTTAAATATTCTAAAGCTAAATCATCTTGCCCTTTGCCGTAATATGCTGTACCGATTCTAGTTAGTGTATAAGCGATGGATCGTTTGTTATTCAGATCTCTTTCAAGTATTTGTAATCCTTTGAAATAATACTCTAAAGCCGTATTAAACTTTCCTTGAAAATCATACGTGTAACCTATATAGCTCAATATTATGCCAAGTTTGTTAAAAGAAGTTGATTCACTTTTGATGCATAAATCATAAGCATGCTGCAAATACTTCCGTGATAATTCAAAATCTTTTATTCCGAGAAAGGCTCGTCCTAATCCTCGATAAATATCAATAGTAGTAGAAGAATCTTGATCACGTTGAACATGTAATAGATTTTCAAAGTAATGACGGCATTTAATATATTCTCCCATATCATAAAGTAGATTACCGAATAAAACAAAAATATCCAATTTTGTATCATGCATTTCGTTTCTTTGAAAATTGACGTATTCTTTCGCTATTTCTAAGCCTTTGTCGGACGGAGTCATTTTACAAATCCAATATTTTTTCTCTTCATCATAGGCAACATCTTGCATCTCGAAGACTGTTCCAAGATCAAACAAAAATTCTTGTTCATCTCGAAAACGACTGTAGCATGTAATATCAGCAACAATACTTGACCGATGAATACTTGTGTTATAATCAATTTCAAAAATAATTGATTCTAAATTTTTGCTGCTAGCATTAGTATTAACAACAGCAATACCAGCATAGATTTCGGCTACTTCTCGACTTTTACTTGTTGAAAGAAATCCATTGGTTAGTATCAAGTGACCGATACTATTTTTTAAACGTTGAATTTCGTCTTGTGTCTGTTTCGTTCCTCGATAAAGTTTTAATAATTTATAGCATTTCAATACCAATTCATGTTTATCAACTAATTGAGAACATAAATCAATGAGATAAAAACGAAATGTATACAATGCTTCAACATCTTCTGTTCTTAAAGCTTTATTGATTAATTTGTATATAAAGCTATCCTTTGTATACCATTCTAATGCGTTAGCAATCGAATATGCGTTATTAAATTGTTCAATATTTCGTAATTCTTTCTGATTACCTCGATAATAGAGGCGACACTTATTCAGCATTTCTTCTTTTGCATTTTTATCGCCACTTGGCATTTTTTGCAAAACATCTTTCAATAGTTGATGCCAAATGAATGATCCGGATTCGTTTGTTATATTTCGCGACGATTTTTGATTTTGATTGTATAAATTAAAAGTATTAATTTGTTTCTCAGCTAATTGAATGTTACGTTGAATACTTTTAATTAAGCTATTTTGCTGAATAAAAATATCGATTATTTTATAATAATTGGCTTTTTCAATCAATGCTTTTTCATATTTTAATTTATCCATACAAAATATAAAAATACTATCAACTTGGCGAAGATCATGTATTTCCGATAATAAAACGTCTGCATCACTACCGGATACAATAAGAAATATTGTCTCCGATTTTACTGATTTGATATAATAGATGCAATCACCAAGTTGAGCAAAAAATAAAACATAATCATTAATTTCTCTTAGCATATTTTTTGTCAATTGAATATCTTTCATATTCAGCTTTATATTTTGATCAAACCATATTAACGTAATAGTTTCTTTGTTTCCACAAAACGCATTCTCATTTTCATCATTCTCCAAATACTGTTCATGATTTAACTGCCTAGTTTCATTGCCGTCAAATGCCATTTATACTCACTTCACTTTTTTTAACTAAACCAGTGTAGAAAAATGATCCATCTAGTGTTCTTTTATACTATAGTATTATACAGTTATATACTTGGCATTTTCCAACATATGAAGTGACGAGGGTCACAACTACTCGAAGTATCGAGTATGAATGGTAAATACTGAAATCCGACAAATGTTCGCTTTATTTGCATTGTACGCAAAACGAGCGCTTCAACCATTTTATTAAACTAGAACCAATCGACGAATATTTCTGTGACACTTCCTGCTTAAATTCGTCAGTAAAGAAATGAGTTATTTAAGATACAAAAAAACATGACTAGTTACACTTCTTGCATTCTGTTCTCTCTTTCTAATCATATACATTTGTATTCTGAAGAAAAATCAAGGGTGGGAGCTGAATTTTTGATTGCCAATCATTGTCAATGATTGCCGATGATTATTTTTCTTCTTTGATATCGAAAAATCATCGATTCGAGTCCTTTTTAGTCAATATAAGTTTGTATCTTGAAGCATCATAAGAATATGACCAATTTACTAGTCAATTTTCATAGAAAAACAGAGTATATACATGAAGAAAACTACATAAATTACTGTCACGTTCTTGGCAGGAAATATAAAAGCAAATTAATATTTCTGGTGTTACCTAAAATTATCCTTCAAAAGTCT